AGTCTAGATATAAAAGATCTTAATTTTAAAGCTTATATCAATTCTGATTAAGCAGATAATATTAATAACTATAAATTCATATCAAGTCTTTTTATTCATCTAGCTGATGACTTAATCATATGAAAATTGATTAAATGAATAATTATGACTTTAAGTATTACAGAAGCTGAGTATATATTCCTCAGTGAGAGTCTAAAAACTGTAATTTAACTGTATAAACTATTAATTAAGCTTGAATTTCTATTCTCTGACTTCACTGTTCTTCTGTACATTGATAATAATAATGTAATTATTATAGTGAACAGTGACAAGATCATCTGCAATGTATATTATATTAATATAAAATATTATTATATTTATAATACTGTCACATCAGATATTATTAAGATTAAATAAGTGAATACTACTGATATGACTGCAGACACTCTTACAAAGATGTTGATTTTTAAGATTTATAAAATCACTCTAATTAATATAAGAATTTAACTACTTATAGCCTGTGAAGCTCTGTGAGTATTCTGATATATGTAAGATCTAATCAGATCAATGTTTCTATACTAATTTTTCTTTAATTCTTCAACTCTTATTAGTCTTCTGTGAAATCTTTGATAGAAGACACTACTATTTTATATATAATATTTCTTCTCTAGTTATAGAACTACTCTACTGAGTTGTAAATATTTACTCAGTGAAGTAGTGATTAAGAAAAGTGTTAGATTCTCTCTCTACAGACTGACTGTCTCTGTATAAGTGAGATGTTCACTGATTACTTAATGAATATCTATCATATATAAAAAACTGCATAATAGCTAGATCTCAATAATGAAATCAACTACTATATTATATCATCTTCATCACTTCTCTCTAATGAATATAACTTTGAAAAAGCCGATTGAAAAGCAGTTAAATAAAATATAAAACTGCTGAAATTTGAAAAACAGAGTGAGCTCTATTGAAATTTAAGTTAAGATATTTTAAATGAAATACTTAAGAATAGAGTAAATCTGATTATATCTATTCTTTTAACAAGTATTAAAGAAAATATTTCAAAGAAAAAATCTTCTAAGTATTTCAAATCTTGATAAAATGAGAATATCACTTCTAATAGAAAATAATTAATCACTATTAAAAGAGATTCAAAAAATAGATTAATATTTGATAAAAAGTTCAAAGCTATCAGAAATGAATATTTTTCAGATATTAAAGAAGTTAAAATAAACTGTTGAAATAAGTTTCTTAAAGAAGTATAATAAAAAAGTATTTAAAGTCTTTAACTATACTAAAACAAGAAGTGTAGCAAAACTTTCAACTTTAAAATATGAGTTTTAGAATAAATTATATACAGTAAATTCTTTTGAAAAAAAATATCAAGTTTTTATAAAAATTCTCTTTCAAAACTTATCAGATTCAGAAGAAGAGAATATTTCATTTCATAAATATATTAATGAAAATAACTGAGAATGATCTAAACTATACAAGATGAACTAGAGTCAGTTATTTTCTCAAGTTTAATTAAAACTATTGCAGATTCTGATTCAATTAATTAGTTAATTATTTAAAATACATATCTCTACTTGAAAAATAAATATTTTAAGCTTTTATTTAATCTTTTGAAAAATGAATATTATTCTAAATACTAAAGAGAAGTCACTGAAGTGATTCTTATAAAACTTAATATAAAAGCTTTAATTGCTAAGTTATATAGAGTAATATCTCTATTGAATTATCTGAGAAAGATTTTAGAAAAAATAATAGCTATTAAATTATTTTTTATAAGCTCTATTAATGATTCTCTTCTATATAATAAATAGATAAGAGATAGAAAACAATGTTTTATAATTAACACTATTCTTTCAGTTATTTATAATATTTAAATAGTAAAAAATAAAGATCTGATCTCAACTGCAGTTTTTATTAATATAAAAGAAGTATTTAATTACATTTTAAAGTTAAAGATGATTCAAACTTTGAAGATATTAAAGTTATTAATTTCTTTAATAAAATGAGTTAATTATTTTATATTCAAAAGAATTATACAATTATTTTTTAATGAAATGAAATAAGATAAAACTGAGATAAAAATAGAAGTATTTCAAGAATTTTCAATCTTATCTATTCTATTTATAATATACACTGCATATCTATTCAAGAATAGAGAGATGAAAATAATATGATCTTTAAGCTATATAAATGATATTAATTTAATCTACAGTTCAAAAATAATTAAAGAGAATTTAGAAATAATTGAAAAAGTAGTAAAGAAAATCTTTGTTAAAGTAGATATTAATCAAATTCAATTTAATATAAATAAAACTAAGTTAATTCACTTTTTTCTCAGATTTAATGAGATAAAATTAAGTTTAACTCTTTTGAATAAAGAGATTAAACTCAGTTTGAATGTTAAATAACTGAGAGTATGATTAAACTTCAAGTTAAATTTCAAATATTATATTTAATAAAAAACTATTAAGATAGAAAGATTACTGAATAATACAATCAGACTATCAAATACAGAAAAAGATCTATTCTTTCAAGCTATAAAATAATTATATATAGTCTATATTATCTCAGTAACTGATTATAAAGTTTAAATTTAGTGAAATAATTATAGACATTTCACTGAACTCTTTTAAAATCTGTAAAATGAAGCTTTAAGAAGAATTTTAGAAGTACTTAAATCATCTTCTACTAAAGTAATAAAAATTGAAGCTTTAATTTCTTTATCTACTATCAGACTTGAGAAAGTCTGTATAAGCTATAACTGTGTCATGCTTACTCACTCTCTCTAGTGAGTGCATCACAGTGTATAAAAAACCACACTGTACAGAAAATATTTTAAATATAGTAATCTTTAAAAATTAATTAATAATCATTATTACATCTATCTATAATATAAAGATTATCTATATACTCATTAGAAGATGTAGAATTCACTGTAGATTGAAATTCTATAGAATTATCTTATTATAATTAAGTGACTGTAGATTTTATAGATTTGATTCTAATTAATTACAGATTCTTATTAAACATCTTTTTCATCTCATCTACTCTACAGATTACAATCTTACAATTGATATTCTTAATAGTGAGAACTTCATCTACTTGCATCTGTCTGTGAGAGGATTTAATAACTCAATATCTATTTGCTTAATAATAATCTGTAAGTTCACTCTTATAGTGTGTATTCCTTTTCATCTGAATCATACTACTCTTGAAGATCTTGTTCAACTGTCTTATTAAATCAGATGTAAGAGTATTCTTCACATCTTTTAAGATCTTGACTGCTGCATTGATTTAATGACATAGTTTTGCAATCATCTCTGAGAAGATTAATTATAAGAAGACAGTTAACAGTTAATCTGCAGATGATGAGATAAAGTGATTGCATATATTATTATCATCATTGTATATATTGAGATCTGAGGCATTATCAATAATAAGAGATCTCAATTAATTGAGAATTATATTGTGATTAACTGAATACATTTCATAGTCAGTAAAGCCAGCTCTCACAGTACTAGGTTTGAATACTTGCAGTCAGACACTCTTCAGATTAGTAAGAAATTATCTGTTATCATACTGCTTATATTCATAGCAGGTGGCCTCATTAATAATATTCAACTGATGAATTCATATCTTAATTACCTCTTTCTAGCTGTTATTTAATGCTTAATTCAGTGAAACTCTCATAGTTCTTGATTTCTTTCTGTTGACTCTTCTATACAAGATGACATATAAGACTTTGAATTCTTGTGACAGAGATGTGATTTTTAATTTTAAATTACTTTTATATGCATTAACAGCTCTTTGCAACTGCTTCTCAGTGTAATTAGAAGATTTAGACATGATTATAATTAATAATAATTATTTAAAGATGAAGAATAAAGATATTGAAAATATTTTCTATACAGTGTGATTTTCTGTACACTGTAATATACTTACTAGAGAGAGTGAGTAAGTATGACACAGTTACTCTGAAAGTTATAAAAATGAGTTTAAATTATATAATCAGAGAAAGAGTTCCTTCTTCTTTTTTATTAATTAACTCTGAAAATGAACTGAATTGAAATAGATTTCTTGATTGAAATGAAAATAATTCTTTATAGAAAATACTCTTTCAATTATACAGAGTAAACTAACTAGCAGAATCATGAATTTCACATTTAATTTCATTTAATCTGATTTCATACATTTCTTAACATGAATTCTGCTAAGACTAATTATTAAAAAAACATCAAAGCAACTATTAATCAGATCTTAAAATGAGACTATAACTTAGAAAAATTAAGAAAGTAATTTTATTTAATTTTATTTAGTTTCATTCTTGATATAAAGTTATTATTTTTAGAGATTTTAAAGTTTTTTTTAAACTATTTTTAATTTTTTAAAAAGTAATGATATTTAATAACACTTAAATGAAATTTAAAGTCATTTAAAGTAATAAAATGAATTTAAATTAAGAAGTAAAAATCATAATCTTATTTTAAAAATGTGATAAGAGTAGATAGTATGTTCAGTATAAGACTACTATATCTCAGTAGTCTATATATTAAGCTCTTTGTAGATAGCTTCATTAATACAATCTTTAACTATTTTACAAGATCAGATTAAATTGTCAGATCATATGTTCTGACTTATTAATTCTTTCATCATATAACTTTTCACAAGCTAGCAATTTTTTCAATCAAGCAAGCTTTACACCTTTCACATAAATGAGATCAAATGTGAAATTCATGATCTCACTGACCAGTCTAGCCATGAGCTCTTGCTTCTCCGTGCGTTTCCTTCACTCTTTCCTCATACAAACGCTACCTCCTTACCATCCCCCATCACAAGCTAGGAAAGAATAGGCTGACTAGGTCCCCATTGATTGAAAATGCGAATGCGATAGTTCATTTTTTAAGAAGGATTTCAAAACCCAAATATTAAGATAAGACCAAGAAGGGGAAAAAAAGAGAGGGGGTCAAAAACCCAACGCCACAAGAAACATTTACTCTGGCCTTTAGCATACGTGGGTGATTTGGGCGCGAATAGATGTGTAGGGTTTGCATTTGTTTTTTTGCAGGCCATCATATTTAACAAAAAAGGAGAGGGTTAACAACAGGCAATTGAATCAACATAGAGAGATAAACAACTAATGGCAAGGAGTAAATGGGGAATAGAAGCATACATAGCTGAGGGTGAGAGCGTGGTAAGTATTGGTTGGATTGGTCCAAGAAGTACTAAGTAGAGGCGGGTAGAGGCCAGAAGAAATGTGAAAATAATGGAAAACAAACAGTGGAAATGGAAAAAGGAAAAGGAAAATATTGAGGTAGTACACACCTGGGTAACTCGAGAAGATAGAAAGACGAAAAGAAGAAGAAAAGAAAAGAAAGAGAACAGACAAGAAGAGAAATGGGATTAAAGGAAATGAGGAACCAGGAAGAAACCCCCTGAAAGGAACAACGGGGAGAGAAAGAAAAATAGAAAATGACAGGAAAAAAACATAAAAAATACAAATCACAAAATTTGACAGAACTAAAGAGGTTACAGAGAAAGGAAACTAAAACAGATTCATAGCCTGACCTTTAAAGGGACAAAAGAAAATCCAGGAGAGAAAGAACTAGGGGATAACAAGATGTGAAGCTTCGCAATCCTTTCCAAGCCCGTAGGTGTAGGGTGGTCAAGGGAGAAGGGAGAATAAGGAACCGGCGCTAATTGGCAAAACAAAAGGTGAAGAAAGTGTAGGGAATCAAAGTAATGAAACATGCGGGGAATCGATCGGAGGCCCCCTGTCTGGAAAAGAAGGAGGATAGACAAAATAGGCAAAACTCGGCAAATAGAAAAGAGAACGAGGACGATATGGAAACACAAAACAAACACGCAAAAGAGTAACTTGGATATACTGAAGTGGAACTGAGGGGAAAAAAAAATACAAAATAAATAAAAAACGACAGGAAATAACAGATTCCCCCAACAACCATATAGGAAGATATTATTCAATATTCCTATTCGTGCGAGCCTTGTTTCTTCCTCTTCCGTATGTGGCGGGAAGCTCCTGGCTCCTCGCCTTCTCTTCCTTCTATTGCCGAAAAATAAAAGAGAATAAAAAAGGGGTATGTAGTCAGAGTTATGGGTGGTGGGGGGCTGATGATAAGTGGACTAAGGGTTTCTTCATGTCATCGTAGTGTGTAGTTGTATGTCGTCTTTGCAAATAAAGCACCGAGATGGGGGTGAAAGGGGGGGAACGAGGAGCGAGCCCGTTAGCTATTATTTGATTTTTTTTTTTTTTTTTTGAGGCATCCAAGTGCCAAGTGTTTTGCCTCTTCGTTTAAATTCCACGCCTCCTGAAGGATATCATTTTGGTGGGGGGGGGGGGGGGGGCGAGAGATGGAAGAAGTAGGTGACATATCAAGATATGTTTTCGTGTCGAACGAGGGGAGCGGGTTCGGCCATTCAAGATGGGTGGAGGGGTGTTCGTTCAATTCCACCACCACTCAGCGATCGAGGTATTTCGGCTAGTTTACCAGGCCCAAATCTTGAGCTAGAAGGTAGGGGGAAACCATAGATTAATATGCGGGTTCGTTTGTTTAAATGAATCATAAATCATTACTCACAAGAGAATCCCAGGACCCTGTGCACAAGCTGATTCCATCATTGCTGACACCTAGACAGCTGACACGGTTTTCGTGGCCACTGAGTGATCCAACCTTTTCCCCTCTTAGAACGTCCCAGACCTAAGGCAAACAAATTAATATTAGGTTGCATTTCACAAAAGCAAATAGAAATGATACGCAGTAGACATACCTTGCACTCATAATCATCATAGCCAGCAAATAGAAGTCGGCCAGAGACTGAGAAGGCAACCGAAGTAATACCGCAAAGAACTTGATCACTCTGCATAATAGAAAATATATTGTCAGCCACAACTTATACGATGAAACACCGATTGATGAGGGTCCAGAAGAGCTCGCGCGTAGTGAATATTGGGCATACTTAGCTATCAAGGCATGTTTGCCTTGTAGCAACCTGATCAAACTACGCTGAAAAGAACAAGTAGAAGGCGAGTTAATAATACCTGATATGTGTTGAGTTCTCTATCTGCACGGATGTCAAAGAGGCGACACGTGGTGTCATCCGATCCAGTACCAAAAGCGTTGCCATCGGGGAAGAATTGTATGGCATTGATATCCGATTCATGGCCGGAGAAAGTTTGTACGCATTTGCCTGCGCGGATATCCCAGAGTTTGGCGAACGAATCGCATGCGCCAGAAACGAAGACGTTATTGTTTGTGGGGTTGATGCTGATGCTCATAACGTCGCCCAAATGATCGGCGAATTCTGTGACTTTTGTCCCCGATTCAATATCCCATAGCATACAAGTCATATCGCCGGAAGAAGTGATAATCCGACGGTCGTTTACGAAACGGCAACACGACAAATAGCCTGTATGTCCGGACAGTTCTCGAGCGACGCGGGTTGGTCCTTCTCGGGAGGAGAGATTGTAGATGGAGCAGATATTGTCCAAACCACCGCAAGCAACATAGTTACCGCTCGGGGCATACGCGCAAGTCATCACCCATGACGATCGTAGAGGGATCGCGTGGACTTTATTTGTGGTATAGGCATCCCAAATGATTAGTTTACCGTCCTGAGAGGCAGAGACTAGATGGCGGCGGTCCGTTGACCAGTGCATAGCATAGATCTTGGCCAAATGTCCCTTCAGGTTCCGTCGCGGCCTCATTCCAATTCGTGGGAGGGGATCCGTGTTGTTCTGTGCGACTTCGCGAACTACGAGAGACGGACGTTATGTCAGTAACGAATGAATGGTCCCAGCGTAACCTCGGGATGTGTATAGAGGCAGGCGGGCTGGTGAAGATAAGATGGCGAGACCCAGCGGGAAACCCGCCATGGCTTGTCGAGTACGACTGTACGTAGAAAGCCAAAAAAGTTCAAACGCACAGATAACGGAAGTGTGAGGGGAGGGGAGAGGGACTGTTGTGTGTGTTGAAGTGTATGTGGTCCTTACGCGAAGTGTCAGCAAGCTCATCCTTCCTGCGCTTGATGCGATCTTTCAGACCCTCTGCCTCGCGACGGGCAGAGGTGATCTTAGCCTGCATTTGCTCGCCGCTCAAATCGGCCGCCATGATGGATAAACGAGACCACAAAGAGCAAGGGTTTTGGGTCAATTGGATAGACAGGAGATGGATGGGGGGAGGGAGAGAGGAAGCAGTTGACAGGTTGTAAAATTTGACGACGGGACGATCAGGGGGCACGGGATGTGGTTGGAAGCAAGTCACCCAGCCGAGATTCAACGCCTATGCTGGCTTGATTACTAGGACAGGACGCAGACGGCGGTTGGTGTCGTTAATTTAGTAATTTTAGTGGAGAACGGGTCTCTCCAGCGGGCAGAGGAGAAGAACAAGATCGAGGATGATAACAAGGTGGAATTTGTCGTCAACCCACAAACAACAATGGGAATGGATGTCTGGTCAGAAGCGGAATCCAAGAAAGCGCAGCCAGTCCACGACATTCAGCAGCAGTCGGGATAGGATTGAAGGATATAGGAGAGAGGAGAGAGGAGAGAAAAGAGAGATGATAAGAGTGGTAGAGTAGTTCGTCCTGCCAGTTTGGGGGGGAAATGAGGCTGTTGGTTGGCTGTATGTACGGAGTACGGAGTACTGTAAGGATGTATGGATGTAGGCTGGGTACGGTAACAGACCAAGGGAGCTGGTAATATGATACGGGAATAATACGGTAAGTTGACAGAGGGGAAATGGATCTAGCTTCTAGATTAATCACACAACTACCTAGCCACCTTGTGTGGGTCACGTGGGTTAGGGCTTGTGTAGGAGCGGCTGCTGACATGCTGGCGTAATCTCTGCAATAACCGCTGTACAGTTTCCGTATTTAAAAGCTCTCTGATGCCCCAGTTATCATAAATACTAGCGCCCGCCTGATGTTTTTCTTTTCCATATTCCTGTTTGTTGGGGAAGCCTGGTCTACTACAATATTATTAGTGTTTGGCATTTTCATATGCTGACAAACAATCAATCAATGGGCTCAGCCTCGCAGGATTAATCTGGCTCTGCTGTGGCTGGAGTGGGTCGTTCGTTTACTTGGCCCAGGGTAAGGTATGAGTGGAACCGGCTATCAAATAATTACCTAGGTACTGTACTATAGTACTCTGTATACGGGGTACATAAATGAAATATGGGAATGTAAAAATACACTGGGAGAAATCTTCAATTCACAGATTACTTTCTTGCTTACGGACCTCTCTCCTCTATTTTAACTCACCCGAAAACCATTGTTTTACGCCTTCGGTTTTCGACGTCACGAATAACAGTATCTAGCTCCGAGATTGAAATGACAGAACATCTCAAGGGCAAAGGATCGATATTTACACCCGGAGCCACGCCATTTGCACCCAAGAGACACTACTTTTTTATAGGTTTAGTGTGTACATGGTATTACATACAAAATACCTGGTTCTCAAAAGTCTCTCTTCTGTACGGAGTACTCCGTAGAGTGCCTGTTCTTTACAATAATCATCTATCAACAAGATCATAAGATAGTGCCTTGCTTGCCTGCTCTGGCTCCTGGACTTCTCCAGGCATCTCAGGCTTATTATTACAGTTAGAGAAATCTGAGGATGAGATTACTCTGTATACAGATTAGAGATGTAGAGAATTGTACTGTACTTGTCTGTACAATGTTCTTGATGTCAAGATCTAATTGGGAACACTAGTAATTTTGTATGCAAAGGGTGTATACACTGAATCTATAAAAAAGTAGTGGTTTTTTTCCGGGTGTAAATAGCCTCGCTCCGAGTGTAACTATCAATCCTTTTGGCCTGGCTGTCTAGCGCACTGTTAAATTGTTGATGGCAAGCGATCAGGGATGGCGGGCTGTTCCACCACATCGAAAGCCAATTAGAATGGTCAGCGCCACATTTGGCCTCCCATTCTCATCAAACTTTCTCTTAACCATTGCCATCACATCTTTGATGCTTTGCAATCATCATATGCTGATGGTTCAAAAAAAGAGGCAAAAAAAGAGTACATGCGAACGGCAGCACTCTTATGCGCGAAATACATTGTGGATGCAGGTCCTGCCGGCCCGTAGTGAAACAGTTAGTACCGTCGCTTTGTTCTGGTTGCCAGGAGGTATTTCATGTATTGTGTTGATTTGACTCCTCATTGTGCTCAAAAGTAATGTTTATACGAAGTTGAAGTGAAACCACAATTGGGGAGGTAAAGAAGTTCCTCCTTCAAGAATCGAAGAAGGATCGCATGGAGTGTTCATCTAGAGGTTGCTGCAGGGCCACTAATCCAGATATATCGATCAATAATATATAACCGTGCAGTCTCAAAGGAAGAATTAGAGATATGTCAGAATTAGAGATATGTCTGTGAACTCACAGCAGGAGATAGGAGCGAATGGCAATTGTCAGCGAAGGGCGCAAAATTGAGACGTGAGCTTTTCGCCTGCAGACGCGCTTGTTTGAAGTTGACCAATGTCCCATACCTGAAGGCAGCAAGAATAGCCCTGGTTTCAGTTATATAGCTGCCAGGCTTCATCACGCCGATCAATTGCTTCTAGAAGGATTTTTGTTTGTTGTCGAAGAAGGCGAAGAAGAGGAGGAAGAAGGAAATATATGAAACCCATTATGCATTGTTGGGTTCACTGGCGCTGATGGCCCATTGGCCAGTGATGGGAGAGGAGGTCCGGACACAGGTACTGCTGCCCCCGTACAGTAAGTGGCATATAACCGATGATTGATTCCACAATAATTTCTGTGGTTGGCGAACAGTGGTTCCATTAGAGGAGATCCATGGATAACTAACTACCTAAATATCGCTCGTCTGCTGTCAGCATTTTAAGGCCATCGATAACTATTAACTAAACAATTTTAACAACCTTCCAAAAATTGTTCTCCCAAAAGTGCAACCCGTTAGCTTCGTCCAATGTTGCACAAACTGAACAGCATCACCATCGAAGATCCATGAATACTTTTGTCTGCGGATACCTTCATCCGAGCTTCCAGGACGCCAAGGTACGGAGGTACAGGGAACCATTTCCAATTTGACGGGAGACAAAAACCAAGAGAACTTGGGCGTTTCCCACAGAGCTCCTACCAATAATGACCTCTCCTCTCCAAGAGACTCCATGGCGATCCACCCAATAATTACGTCCAAATGCAAAAGGAAAACGCCTAGAATGGTGGCGCCATCTGGAGTATTTCAAGTGCCCAACCACTGGCAAACCAGCGATGATGGCGCTTATGACTGCCCCGTACTTTTTGTCGTCTCACTTCCAGTCACTTTAAGTTGTATCCTGATTCCCGACAGGCCAGTCGCAGATGAGTGTCCTCGTTAGGAGGGGAAAAAGGAATTCGGGCCCGTCCCAGTCTTCTCGGAATTTAGAACTCGGTACAGATGTTGATTTTTATTCGTATCGGGGGAATTGATGAGAAAACCCAGACTTGGGTGGTTGAATAGGAAATGACTGTGGGTAACTAATAATAATAAATAACTAATAATAATGATTTGATGCAGAAGCTCGAAGCGGTCGTATCAAGAAAAATATACAGAGTACTCCGTACAGACGGTACGGGATATCAATTCAATACGGCAAGGAAACGACTCAGCAACTGCGTTGTATATTACACAGTACGATGCTTACCGGTAATTTACGCCCGTTGTCCCCAGGCCTGGAGATCGACAGGAATGGGGAAGACGATCGGCCGGCTTGCAGAACGCAAGGAACCATGAAGAATGGGAATCTTGACTCTAAAATACTTACCAAGATAGGGACATCAATTACCATTCTTTATTATGGGATTTTTTTCTTTTGTTTTACTCGATGTTGCCGTTTGCTTCATTATTGATAGTGCTTAGGGCCAAAGTTCATAGTGACAACCTTCCTCCCCCCCATCTTCAATGCAGTACATACTCACAAAGCAATCTATCTCTATTTATGTATGTATGTACGGAGTACTGCTAAATGCACACTCGGAGTACGGAGTACTCGAACATGCATTACTCCGTACATTTGCATGCATTCATCACCCTAGCGCTGGAAAAACCAGACAAAAGGAAGACATCCACCTCCCATCATTGGGCAATGGGCGCATATTCAGCGCAGCAATGGCTGCATTGGCTAGAGGTAGATGTATGCTATGGGCTACTGGTTAGTGTGCGGGAATAGCAACATACACCTCCAAAGGCTTTTCATCTTTCCTCCTCCTCAATGCCTCTCTCTCCTCCTGGAAAATACCTCTTTCCCACCCCGGATGATAAGCTGCTAATCGATCGACTTTGTGAAAGATTTAGGTAGGTGGATCCTACGAGCAGTACGCCGTACATGCACTCTATATACCCTACTCTACCTTAACCCAGAGCGCCCGACGATTGCGGAGGGAACCAAGTGAACCGACTTTCATCTTTCATATCTGGCGTTAATATATATTTGACGTGAGCAATCACCCTCTGTCTGGCCTTTTTGAATTATAGCAAAGCTCCCGTGAGCATCTCTGTCCGCGTGTTGGTAAGAAGGGTTGTGCAGGTAGGTTTTCGAAGTGGCCTGCCAAACCATATAACGATACTGATTGAAATTCATCATGCATTTTTTGGAAACTCTTCCGTGAGTGCGAGGGATGAGAAAGGGAGAATCATAAAAGAAATAAAGAGGACATGAACGACCTCTCCAATCTTAAATGAGAAGAAAGGCATATTTATGCTCAGCCAATTAACTGGAAAACACCATCTTCTCAATGGTGTTTGCTCAAGGAATCTGTGAGATTCAAATGTCGTTGTCTTTCATCTCCCTTGACCAGTATGAACCGACAGTTGCACATCAGGGATCTTCCTCAGAAGCATATAGCTGAGTGCACTTGGTGTTTGAGAACAGCCAAACCAACAGCCTAACCAGACAGACACACACAAACACACATATCAGAGATATAAAGAAGACGTCACCGTCATTTTGGCTCGGGATGATATTACCAGGAACCATCGAGTTGCCAATTGATACCGCAACCATGCGACGACAGGCAATTGCGTTGCCTTCCATAGTCAGTCTGGCAAAGCTGACATGCCTCCATCGCCCTGGAGTGTTGGGTTGTGTCATATAACCTTCATTGTTTCGGCATCCTGTGACGCTTTGTATCTTGAGCGCTCCGGCTACCATAAGATTATTGTTTCCCGGCTCGCTACCTCTGTTTCCACCCCCTTCCAAAACCCTATAGGGGCAGTAAACCGCAATAATCACCAAAGGTATGACGAGGCAAAACCAACAATCTGACGTTTGAATAGACTTGCTTATTGATAGCTTCCAAGCACTTCTCCAGCTAATATCATGTTCATTTTCAACATGGGAAACGCGGGGTAAGTTCGAGTATAGCCTGTTCGGGTTCATCCTTGATGTTTTGAATTAGCTGAGAGTAAGGAGAACATCTGTAGATGTAGATAGGTGTGAGGATAAATCCTTAATGCCTGCCTCTCAAACCTAGGCGTGGTATTCCGATGCAAACTTCTTAGGTCAAGAGGCCACCATGTTCAGCAATTCTTGTGGTGATAAAACTGGGCACACTGGCTCAAGGAGACGCCTAGCACAAAGATAGACTGGACAATTCCCGAGCATATCTGTAAGAAATCCCGCTCCTTGCGGATCCTTTACCCCTATTCCTATCTCTCATGTAATCAATAGTAGACTAGCCGGCGGGACCATGAATCAGGAAGCAGAAAACTTGACCTCGCTAAGTGCGCCACTTGACCTCGTTATGTAAGCTGACCTCGCAAATGTGGCCTGTGCCACTACCTGACCTCGCTCAATACATCTTTTCTTGTAATTTGAAACTACTCAATTATTTATCATCAATTCTACAATCAATTCAAAATCAATTTAAAATCAATTTAATACTGAAATTATTTTTGAATTTAATAATAAAGTAAGTATTTATATAATTTACACTGAATTGATTATCAATTGATTTTCAATCAATTGTTAATTACTTAAATATATAGATTGAATTTATTTTTATTATTATAATCAATTAACAATCAATTCAGAATCAATTTAAAATCAATTTAAAATCAATTTAATACTGAAATTATTTTTGAATTTAATAATAAAGTAAGTATTTATATAATTTACACTGAATTGATTATCAATTGATTTTCAATCAATTATTAATTACTTAAATATATAGATTGAATTTATTTTTATTATTATAATTAATTAACAATCAATTCAGAATCAATTTAAAATTAATTTAAAATTAATTATTAAATATTTTTATCTTAATATATTTTAAAATTCTGTAAAATATCTCTTTATATTCTATATGAATTTGTCTGTTCATTTAATTGATTATGAATCAGCTAATGCTTTGATTGATTGAGTGAATTGAAAGATTGAGTGAATTGAAAGATTGAAAGTTAATTATCAACTGATTATTACTGTATTGTATGAGGTCAGAGTTATAATTATATAATAAGATTAAGTGATGCACTTAGCAAGGTCAAGTTTTCTGTATACACACTATGAATTTCACATTTGATCTCATTTAGTCTGGTTTCATACATTTCTTAGCATGAGTCTCATCAGAACCAAGCATTAAAAAAACCTGAAAATGAATCATTTCTGAAAGAAATGATGTGAAAAATGATCAGATTTAATTCAAGAACAGTGAAATAAGAGTAATTTCTCAGAATAGATAGTAAAAGATAATCATTCTTTCAAAATCAGAATAAGACTGAGACTGAAGATTAAGTTCAGTCTTATTTAATTTATTCAGTAATTACTTATATAATCAGAATTTAATAATAATTATTAATAATACTTATAAAATAACTAAATACATTTTTATATAAGTTTATTCTTTATTTTCTTATAAAAATTACATTTCTCTAATATACTATAATCAGAGATATTAAACTATCTGATAATTTTATATTTTATAATTATAAGTTTCTTAATTATTTCTTCTTATAATTATACTTAATAATAATAATAAATATCATAGCTTGAGTTGAACTTTTACTTCATTTTTATCTCTATTAATGAAATTATTAGAATATTATATATTATCAGTATAATAGTTGAATATATACTCTTAACAATTTTTTATAACTCTAGAATTAATTTAGTATATAAATTTATTAAATTATCTTAAAAATAGTAGTTAAATTCAGTTTTATAAGTATATAGTTTTATCTGATTTTTAATTATAATTAATATATATAAGTTCTATTTCAAAGTTAGTATTATAGTTCTATATAATATAAAGTATTATCAAAGATTATTACTTACTAAAGAATTATATTTCATTATTTATATATCTTTAATATCTACTTATTCAAATCTCTGATAGTTAATATTATAGTAGTCTCAGATTAATTTAATATATAAGTCTTATTTCTTCTCTATTCAATCTTAAGAAGTGTAGATATTAACTTAATAAAAGAGATCTAGTAGAGTTACTATAATATAGTACTCTATAAAAGATTGTTCAGTTTTACTGTAATAATATACTAGTTTATTTCTTATAGTAATAATAGTCTGTACTATAGTATTATCTCAGACTGAATTTCTTTTTAAGTGATTCAACTGCTTCTTAAGATAAGTAAATAAACTATTATATACTTATCAGACTGACTAGACTGACTACTGAGACTATAAATTTCATATTTAATCTTATTTAATTTAATCTTATATATTTCTTGATGTGAATTCTGCTGAAACTAGTCATTAAAAAAACATGCAAAGTGATTATATATCAGATCTCAAAATGAAATCATGACTTGAAAAAAATAAGAAAGTGATTTTATTTGATCTCATTTAGTCTCATTCTTGACATAAAGTTACTATTTTTAGACATTTTAAGGTTTTTTTTAGACTATTTTTAATTTTTTAAAAAGTAACACTTTTTGATAACACTTAAATAAGATTTAAAGTCATTTAAAGTAATAAAAATAATTTAAATTGAGAAGTGAAAATTATGATCTTATTTGAAACAATGTGATAAGAGTAGATAGTAAGTCTCACTGAGAC